ATATATATTTATAATATGACGTAAAAATTATAAATATTATTTAAGTTTTCATAAATCGCCAAAGTATACTTAAATACTATAAAAATAAGAGTGTTAGGTTTATGATAGTATTTAGTATGATTTATTGTTATTCTTAGACTAACGTGAGAAATAAAAAATAATAGGTATATCAATAATAAGCAACATCGTGTAATAAAATAATTAATAAATATCTAAAAGGTACTAAACTCAAAATATACCAATAGAATATATTTATATTTTATATTTAAAAGAGGTTTAGAGGTTGGATTGTTAAACAATTAAAATTGTAAAAATATTAAATAATAATAAACACTGAATAACGAGTGAATAAGTAATTATCGCGACTTAACGTTCGGTTATTTAACTGATTTAAGATAATATATTATTTTATGTAGATCTTAAAACGTGGTATAATAATTACTAATTTATTTCAATGTTTTCATAAATGCTTATTATAGTAATAAACACTCACCTTGTTGACTTGGTTACACTGTAACCTTGGTTTTATCACTGACAACTCGGACACATTTTTATAGATAATGGTTTATCACGTTCAACATTGAACATCAACAAAACTGCGGCGTTTTCGTTTTAAGGAAATTAATCAACCGCGATTTATAGTTTTTATTTATATATTTTTTTTTTTTTTAGTCTGGGTTCATATGCCGCTATGAAAGTTGGCTAGATAGACGGACATAATCTCTTTTAATGTTATTGAAAAAAAGTAAAAATGAGCAACCTTTTAGTTTACAGAACGCTGTTAATAAAATTCACGTTTTCGTCGTTACTAATTTTCTTGCACTTTCTGTACGCGATTTATTCATGGCTCGTCGACCAGACGATATTCAAACAACCGGATCCTTGGCATAATCGTTCCATAAACGGATACAAGAAGTACCGTTTAAAAAAGTTACCCAACCATCTTGTGGTGTCTGTATGCCAGGAGGAAGTGTTCTATGAATATCTGGCCAAATTGTTGGCCTGGGCGTTATTTCTAGAAGTTCCTGTCGTCAGCTTTTATCACAATGAAAACGGTAAAGTGTATAACGAACTAACAGTTTTTTTTTTAGGGATGATGCGAGTAATATGGTTCCTCTTTAATTGTTGGCTTTAAAAGTGTTATAAAGTATTTAAATATCGGTATTCATGAATTATATTTAATACATTTAATAATATTTTAAATACTTTCCATCAACAAGTATTTTGATTAAATGTTGGACTGWTTTATTGTATTGAATACTATTTTAAAAATATTTTCAATATTTGAAATAGTTGTAAAAAGAAATGGGCATCACAAAATTCTTATACTTTAATATAACTTAACAATATTAATATGCCAAATGATACCTTTCTAACTATGTATTTTTTAAATGTAACACACTATCAAATTTTTATATAATATAACTTAATGGTAGGAATATTGTTAAATATTAATTTAAATTTGTATATATTAATAAATAATATGGTAAGTATAACTAAAAGTTTTCATATTTTAGTACTTACTATAATTTATTAATAWCTATTTATAAATACCAACTAAATAAAATAAAATTGTAAAAATTCTTCAAGATTTACTGATATTTAAAACTACAAGATTTATCATAAAACAATATAAGTATACCATAATATACTTAAATACCTTACAACAATGGCCAGCACACATAATTATTATGTCCTCGATAGCTCTAATAAAAAAAAATTATTGCAAATAATATTAAATTTATACCTTATATGAAAATTAAACTTGTAACCATTCTATCACCCATATTGGCCTTAGACCAGTCACCAAATATTCCCAGAATACCTTATTCTGTCTGACAAGTGCACAATTTATTAAGCTGTATTTTTTCTTTTTGAAATTTGAAATAATTGATTTGTTTTTTTTTCAGGTATATCTCCAGAAGAATTATTTTTTGCGTTTCGAGATCAGTACAGTAGTTTGTTAACAAAAGTTAATTGGGGATTAGAATTTAATGATAACATAAAATTTGAATCAAAGAAATGCATAAATGGTAAATATTATTATTAATTAATGCCTTATTCAAACATTTTGTAAGTTTCTTGGATAAATTATTATGCTTATTATTTATATATTTTTATACTTCAAGGATATAAATGGGAACCAAGAATTGAAGTCAATATATTGACATCTAAACATTCTAAATTACAATTAGTTAATGCCTTGCGAACTGTATGCAGAACAGAAGAAGAATTCTCAGATACTTTAGTTGAGTTTGCAATTAATAAAACATTCCCCATGGTTGAACCTGATTTGGTTGTAATCTGTGGCAAATCATGTACAACATTTGGTTTATTACCTTGGCACACCCGTGTCACTGAATTTTTGTGAGTTAAATATATTTTWAATTTAGATATAACTTGCATGTTGTTGCATAATCATATATTAATTATTCTGTTTTTGGGTTCTAGGACATTGAAAACACATTATAATGTCACATTTTTAAAGTTTTATAAATTATTGGAACAATATAGTAGAAATGAACAAAGATTTGGAAAATAAATTCTTTGTTAGATTTTGATAACTACATTTAAGTGTAAATAATAGTTTATGTTTTTCGTCAATTGTGTAAACATTGTTATTAAAAGGATATTTGTTTCCTAATAAATTATTTGTTAAAAT